AAATAAAGGGTTGAGATTTATTTGAAATTAAAATAATAATAATAATATAAAGGCCTCCAACGGTAACTTCCTCTACTTTTTACCCTTTTTTTCTTTTTTTTTTTAAAAATCAAATAAAGTTATGTCAGCGTTTAATGCAATTTGACTTTTTTTTAACGTCCGGGTAACTTTTGCATTTCTTTTTTTTTTCTCCTTTTCTTCTTCTCTTTCTTTTCTTTTTCTTCTTTTCACTTTCTTTCTCCCTTTATCTTTTTTTTTAACTAAAAAACTTCGTGCCACATGTCCACAATTTCATTGGTCTACGTCTATCACGTCATCTACCACATATATTATTCTTTCAATTTCTTTTGGTCGTAACTTCTTCGTTTGAGCTTCGATTTAGATGATTCAAGATCCGTTGGAACCGTTGTATCGAGCTTTACGTTGTGGACACTTCAAAATACTAAAACTTTTGTTAAACGAAAATATGTATTAATAAATCATATAATAAATTTATGCTTCTTCTTACACACCAAAAACAACTACTACTAAGTATGTTTGTTATCATCAATACATTAATTAATTTAATTAATTAATCAAGATAACGGCCAAAAAACCAACAAACAGAGGCTTTCTAGCATATTTTTGCTTCTGTTAAATAGAATTGCTATTATATTTCCATCTTACTAATCTATGTCGGTCACTTTTATCAGTTTGTTTGCTCTTGTATGACTCGGGAGGGTGTATAGGTAGCGCTATCATTCCCTATTTGTGGTTATATTACTTTTTTATAATAGATTTGTGGATGCTTAGGGATAAGGTCTGTCTAACCGTGCTTATAAACTGTTCGTTATGCTTGGGTATTTTGCAATAGAAGTTGTAGATACTCATTTATAGGTATCTCGGAAGGGAACCACACATCGGTTTGAGCATCAACATTCGATTTTATGCTAGAGCGTCTTCTGTGAGCGAGTGAAAACATGTAATAATCTGCCCCGTTCTCATCTCATCATCAGTTTCCCCTTTCTGTTAGTTTTGCTAAAGTATCTCTCTGCCCCAACATCGTTAATTTGTATTTGTCTCTTGGATTTTCTTTATACATTTTTATAGCATTTTACTTAGTTTAGTTATACAAACACTAATTATCTTTTATTTGCATTTTTTATATTCTTAATGCATGCTTAGAGTAATATCCTTAGTCCCTGTGGATTTTGACATTGTTTATACTACAATCGGCGAGAATAGTGTACACTTGTACTTGCATTCACCTAAGTTGTGGGAACGCAACAACCACTCAGAAGTTGAACATGTGGCATCAAGAGAACATACTTATGCCGGTGTGACATCCAACAATCAAACAAATGAGAAGACGATATGTGGTGCTTTCAATCTCAATAAATCCATTTCCACAAATTTCTCTCAATCTCCTCAATCACTCTCAATCTCCATAATTTCTCAATCTCCACCAATTTCTCCAGATCTCCATACTTTTCTTTATTCGTTTTTCCTTATCTTTCCTCTTAATCTCTACCACTCATTCTTTGTTGCCCTAAATYCAATGGCCAAATTTCATGCATGAAATTCTATTTAAACCACCAAATTCATCCTCCTCAACACACCAATTATCAAAGCAAACATCTTTCTCTCTTCAAATTATTTGCTCTCAAACTACTCATTCTCTCCACACAAAAATTTGTCCATATATATATTGTGAGAGATGCATTAGAGTGTAGCTGTTTAGCTATTGGTGCGAAATTTGCAAATCCACCTTAGTGGGATACTTTATTTGTATTGCTTATTTTACATTTTAGGTTTTGTATTAAGGTGTGGGTACACCTTTAGTTGTGAGAAAACACAATTGGCTAGATCCATAACCAGTTAAAATTATCTTTGGTTTTACCTAGGACAAAAAGAGGTTCGATCAGTTTGGTTCTCACGCAAGAGAGTCATTGCAGTAAAATACCCAAGAATGAGTTTTGGGGATTGGAGTAGGGATTTTCGAAGAACTATAAAATTTCTTGATGTAATCTTTCTACTCATTTTTAATTTGTGCATTTTAATTTCATTTGATTTTGTTATTCTTGATTCTATTTTTAAAATCTAAAAATCAGTACGCAACCCTATTCAGCCCCTTGTAGTGTTGCCCTACAATCCTACAATTTTGTAATTAACTGCTTGGGTCTATTTATATTGATATATATCATTGAATAAAGTGAGCTCAGATTGTGATATAATACGAAATCTAAATATGAGAGTTTTTTGGTAGGGTACCTTTTGGGAATTTCTTCATCACTTAGTGGTTTCTAATTCTTTTCGATTTTCACGCCCATTCTTGATTGATTTTCACTTTCCGCAAAATTAGATGACCTTGATCAATCAGGAGCGAATTCTTCTTCCTCCCTTGAACAATACAACAATCCATACTTCCTTCATCACTCTAATAACACGATCTCCTCTCTAATGAAAACTACACTTCATGGAGCAAATTCATGATGATTGTACTCACGGTCAAGAATAAAATTGGATTCGTGGATGACTCTATTTCATGACTCAATTGAAGATTTTATGGATTCAATTGGCTGTCGTATCATCCTTTGTGTAATTACTATCTTTGAATCGATGTTTAGTTTATCTATTGACTAAACAAAGACGATTTTTTTTGCCTCTAACAAACGTATGTCAATTTGGTAACCTTTCTTTGCCCTATGTTACTCTTGCTTTGGCGCATCAACTATTTTTTGTGATTCTAGTATCCTAACGGCAGCCACCTTCCTTTGCCCCACAGCGATGTCACTCTTGCTTTGACCAATCACCTCTTTTGGTGATTTGGTATCCTAACTGCGGTGGTCACCTTCGTTTGTCTTACAGTTATAACACATGCACTTATGTGTTGGTTGATCACCTATTTTGGTGATTTTGATATGCTAGTGAAAAACCTTTGATTTGAAGAGTAAAAAGAAGTATCATTCATGCGAGTTGAGGGCTTTGTTATGCAAATGGTGTATATATTGCGCATATATTTAGGTAAAAATGGTGAATATTCATTGTGCATACTTTATTCTTGCATAACTTAGTAAATCATAGGTATTTGTTGCAAATTTTAAGTAAAAACTCTGTTTTTTTTTTTTCAGAAACCGAGCGTTGATTCTCTCCTACTATCCAACCAACTTCGAACTCCATGTAAATTCAATATGAAGTGAAGCATTGAAGCAACCTTTTCCTTTCGTAGCAAGTTTAATTTCTACAACTTGTGTTTAAATTGTCCAACGTTTTACTTTTTATTTCTAAATTGTAAATATTTTATTCTTTCATTCAATTAAAATTCCAACTTGTTTCATTCCATTTCATTTGTTTAGTTTCACCGTCCCTTCATCTGATCAAGAGAGGAACGTGCGAAAGAGTGTGCTAGACTTCTTTGAGAAATCAAGGAGTATAAATTTGGTTAAACTGAGTTTTTTACTCCCTTAACCTCTAAAAAGGAAGGGTGAAACTTGTAATACAAAATCTCCACATTCTTCTCAAGATCCTTATTTTCCAACTTTCTTTATATTCAATAAACAATTTATTTATTCATCAAAAAACATTGTGCTCTTTCTTCATCAGTACTGCTTTCTTTTATTTTAAGTATGAGTTAATTTAGCTTCTAGTCTTCTATGAATGCTTAGCGTTTATTTAAAATTGAGGATAGTTTAGTCTACACAAGTGACAAAAGTTAAAAAGAAAAAAAAAAACATGTTGAGGAGTCACAAAAAGGGAAATTGACTCAATTGACCTGAAAAAGTTTCCATTTTGCTCAAATAACCTGAATTATAAAAATTGACTCAACTGACCCAATTTTAAGGGAAATTGACTCAATTGACCTGAAAAACTTTCCATTTTGCTCAAATGACCTAAATTATAAAAATTGACTCAACTGGCCCAATTTTAACTTTTCTGACATTTCAGAGAGTCTGTAATTACGAATATACCCCCAAATGAATTGAACTACAACAAATCTGCTGGTGAATCACGTAGGTTGGTGTAATTAAAACCATGGGCGAGTTCCACTTGATTCTTGGCCGTGAATTTATTAAAGTACCACCAACTTAATAATTCCCCACCAAATTTTTGTACTATCATTTATTATATACCCACACGTTCTCACCAAGTGTAGAGAATAAAAGTATGTTTCAGTCCGTATTGTCCAGAAGCACATCTTTCACGTGGTTTTGAAGAACTTTT